CAAAGTTAGTATTTCTTTTAATGTGCTTGCTACATTCTTCAGTAGTTTTACACATTCTTCAGTAGTTTTACATGAGCCCCAAACATTGACCAAAACAGCATTTGGCCTAGTCCCTTACTCAGGGCCCTGCAGACACTAACCTGTCACCCAAATAGAGCAGTGTCCCTTTCCAGAACAAAGGAGTCATCTACAAACACCATGAAGGCCCTGCCTAGTGATTCAGAGCTCATTTTTTCTATAGGGTTCTTTATGTCACATCCAGGCAGAACTGAAAACTGGATAAATCCATAATTGAAAAAATTTTTTAAATTCTATCTACAGATAAATATAATCATAGGTGGATGATATATTAAAAAGATTGTGCATGTTCACTGAGATCATCTGCAATCATATAGGCCAGGGTTTCCGGAACTTAAGTGCTTTCAAATCACCTGGGGATCCTGTTAAAATGCAGATTCTGATTCAGCAGGCAGGGCCAGGGACGAGAGTCCAGGAACCTCCCAAATAATGCTGATACTGCTGCTCAGCAACACTTTGAGTAGCAAAAACCTGGAGGACAACTCCTAACAGGTCTCCAAAAAAGTCTGCACTTAAAGAAGCGATTCTGCGAAGTTTTAGAAGGCAGGCAGTAGAGGAGCGGCAGGGCCATGTGGGAAAGCATTCCGTGGTGGCTGTGAGAGTCTTCAGGGCTCTCCAGTCTCCCCTGAAACTGAGCCAGATGGTAACTATTTACTCTTGTGTTTTTGTAGAACCAAGAGACTTTACCCCTTTGTGGTCTTAGTGGGGAAATCATCCTACACAGGAAGATGTGAAAACAGGGAATTGTACCCCAAATTGAGACAAGATAACTAGCAGGGAATTTGGGATCTACCCGCAAATAGTTGAAAGTCTGTCCAATGGAAGAAGGCTGGAAAGTAGCATTTACAGGGAAGCACATTTCAGTTCCGTTGGTATAAGAGAAGTTAAGTACTTTCAAACTGCATCATCCAGGGAACGGAATTAAGTTGCCGGACAAAGGGGAGAAGCTCAGTGTAGTCGTCCGTGGTGCTGATAGTGGGGCTTTGGTCAAATTGCTGTTAGGTGCACTCCACTCCTAATTTTGTAATCTGGGAGTCTGTCTCCGTTTATAAGGAAGAAGACAAGTCAGGGCATGAAAAAGGGACTGAGGCTCTCAGTTGGTTATGCTAAGTGCAACAAATGGCCTAGATCACTGGTTCCTGGGTTTCTAGATTTTATTTAAAAAATACATCTATGTTTTTTAATTATAGAAATCAACAGTGGCCAACTTTTATTTTGCTAAGCAAGGATGGGAACATGCACTCGCAAAAAGTAACCTGTCTACTAATGCCTAATTTCCATGAAATGAGAGCATTTTAATACTTCATGCTGCCACAAAAAGTCAGCCACAAAAGCATAATCTCAAAATGAAATCCTTTAAGTTGAATTTAGCCTAATACAAACCTGTTCACTTTGTACTTATTTTTCTCATTTCCTGTACATTTAAGAACCATAGGGCTAAATGATCTAAAACTATTTTATGTAATATTCTGATTCTTTAACTTCATCAGTGGCCAATTTCATGTGAAAATAATACTATATATATTCTGGTGGTATTCAAAGGATGTCTTTGGTAAAAATGAGTTCAGATCCAGTGCAAGCATTCTGCAGCCTGGCCACACTGACTCGGATTGTCATTCTCGGTGCATAACCGCATCCCCAAGAGTCCCCACCCTGACAAGCTGGAGTTTGCCTGGGGTCTGAAATCTGTTGCTGATGCTTAAAACATCCTCCTGATGTATTCTTTCTGAAAACTGGGGAAAGGTGCTGGCAGTGCAAAAATGGTATGCATGAACATGCAAATTTAATTTTGCATTTTATTTATATGTATATTAGAATGACTATTTCAATACTTAAATCTAGATTTTCTACTTTGAAAAATACAAACCATGACTTTTTAAAAAAATTCAAACAAGTATCTGTTACATAGGGTATTTATTATCATGTAAAAGAAAATATTCAGTGTAATAATTTGACTCAGTTATGAGGGAAAATGAGGTGATATGATCCTCCGAAATTTATTTTTAAAGTGTTAACAGTGAAAAATATAATATTCTGATTTTTTAAAAATTCTAAAGAACTACTTACCTGTATAAAAAAAATCTATAGTATTTAGTATTATTGCCAATACTTGCCAGGAATAACTTGTGTCTTGAATACCAAAACGACCATATTAATGTTATGAATATGAACTTGTAAAAGAGTTTACAAGCACTTTGTAATAAAAAGGCATGTTTTCTTAATAAAATGGTAAAACACAACATTTATTTTTTAGTACATACCAAGAAGTACCGTGCCAAAAAATGGATATACACACTCAATTCCCTATATTGAGTTATCATTTTAATAGAAGCCTTATTCATTGTACATATGTGGGAGTGTTTATACATATGTAAACTACTTACTACATTTCAGATAAAGTATGACCTCATGTAAACATATTATTTTTGACAAGGCCTTATGGAGGCTATCTGAAAATCTCAAAAGCTCAGAGATAGCCTACTGCAGGAATGTATAATTTCCATACTTGTGAGACAAAACTAGCTGAGTCCAGAGTTGGAACGAAGTATAATAAACACTCCAATTCATCTTTGCCTACAGTAACCTTAGATGGGCCTCTCCAGAGAATTCGCATCCATTTTTTTCTTCTCAGGGTCACCTCATTAAAGTGGATCCTGGATTCATGCTATGATTCCAGATCTTGAGCAAAAACTGTATCTCACCCATTACTGGCAGTAATTATCTTTGCAAAGGTCATGGGAATAACTAAACTAGGATGTAAGAAAATCATTTATGAGAATCAGTCTTGCTGCATCATAACGGTAATAATAGATTTTTCAAGATTCACTTGGAAAACAACTTTTCCAAAAACCAATTTCTATATCATACTGAAATATAAGCAATATATTGGATCAGTGTTTTCTTCACAGTTAAAAGAGCGAATGCTTTGGATTTCCATCTAATTAAAAAATTAAGAAACACAACCTGCTGATTCCCTCCATATACAAGGCACCTATCAGTGGGAGGCTGGAAAAGTCACACCCTAGGACAATGAGCTCATCCTGCAAGTCATGAAAAATAAAAACTGCCTTGTGCAGGTTTCACAAAAGGGCTGTGGTTACAGCCACAGCCTTGCAGGTCAGATCATGTCCCAGGAACAGTGGCTGGCTGATCATAGCTCTGCCCGCACCCTCTCCTATCTGCACACTAACCTTCTTCATATGTGGAGGATTGCTGAGTATTGTTTGGGTGTGTATCAGTCTTTCCAGTGAGGTGTGATTACCGAGTCTGTTTAAAAACACGCCTTTTAAAGCAGACCTGTAAGTTCCCTACAAGGGTCTGAGTTCCAGTGCTTTTTAACTAAAATATAACATATTATTTCAAAGACATTAATTTCTTGTAACATCCCTAAAGACTTGGGATAATACAAATCCTGGCAGGGCTGCTGTTTGTGTTTTAAAAGAGAAAAAACACAACCTTGAAAGAAAGAAGGAATTCCATGCAGTCTTTACATTTTATTGCCAGCTAATGAGGACCATGTTTCCTTTTGTCAGAAAGCTCCTGGTAGGAATATTTCAGACAATTCCATGGTAGGTAAGATACAGAACCAAGCCTGGGATACAAGGCCCCAGAACCACAAGTACGAAGAGTCTTGCTGGGGGGTCTGGGTCACTTCGACATAAAGAATCCAGTCATAGGGCCTATCAGAGAATGAAAAATTGGCAGAGACGCCTTACTTCTCAGTTTTAAACTATTTAACTCAATTGGGAAGACCCCATTCCGCAGTATTTGGCTTTAAATTTCAGATTATGCTCATACTTAAACCTTTGTGTCCCACATCCCCCACACAACAGACTCCAGCCATTCCTCAGTTCCTCACGTCTACCCTCCAGAGCGAGTGGCACCAGTTCCAGCCCGGCCGTTACCAAGTCAAGCACCCAGGCCTCCCCGGTCCTGGAAAAATACACCATCAACAATATATTAAATTTGTCAACTCTGCTTCATTTTGCTAGTGTAGGAGACATGTTTGCTGTTTAGATTTCAAATCAGAGTAAAATAAAGATTTCTAAACAACTGCCTCGCTTAAGCCAAAAGACACCTAAAACAAAGGCTAACACGAACTAACCTGATGCCGGATGACTGCAGTATCTATTGAATCTTACCTGCTAAACTTTGCCTGAAAAGGCTTTTTTAATTGCAGAAGGGCTGCTTTCGTATAGTTCATAAACGAATACACCTACATTAGGGAAGGCACGTATTTTAACATTTATATTTTAATCATAAGAATCAGAGGAGGAGGAGGAGTGGGAAGAAATTTCAGTAGGTTTCCAAAAAAATATACTTTGTTCAGTATATTTACCCACCTAAACCTTTTAAATGGCTGAAAATCACCTTTGGCACGAACCCGATAAACCCTATTTAAAAAACATGTTTTGAATTAGGGCCGTTTTCTTCCAGCGTTGAGCCCGGTCTTGGGCACTCACAGCTTTATTTTGTTAATGTAGGGTACAGGAACCTAAGCTCTAAAGAGGTTTGTTAGAATCACCCATAGCCCCTGCTCCTGTTCTGTCCTTCACGAATGGCAGCTTCCGAAGGCGGCGCCCTCCCTGGGAGACGGAGACCGCGCGGCAGCTGCCCGGAGGGCTTCCCGGAGGCGGCGGCGCTACTCACCATACTCCATGAGGCTCTGGCAGCCCTCCTCGAAGGACCCGCTGCCGCCGCCCTCTTGCCAGCATCGCCACCACAGCGAGGACGTCTCCTGATGGTTGCTCGACTGCAGCCAGCCGCGGCCGGCCAGCGCGACGATGTCGAAGGCAATGGCGCTGAGCAGGAGCATGGGCAGGATCCACCTGCAGCGCTCGCAGGCCAGGCCGCAGCGCAGCATCTCGACGGGGGTGGCGCGGACGAGAGGAGCGCGCGGGGCTCGGACGCTGGCGGAAAGTGGCGGGCGAGCGCGGGCAGCGGGACAAAAGGGAAGAGGCCGCGGGGAGGCGGCTCCCGGGCGGACGCGGCTCGGGGCGCGCGGGCCCCACCTAGATTCCGGTGAGTCAGAGCGCGCCGCCCCGACCTGCCCCGCCGGGCCGGGGCGCAAGGGGAGAGGCGGTGCCGGCTCGGGTTACACCGGGTGTGGGGGCGCTTAACCCTGCCCGGAGCGGCCCGGTGCGGCCCCGCGCGCCTCTGCGCTTCCCCAGCCTCATATGAAACCCTCCTACTTGATCCAGTCGCACCAGATGTTTTTCTTCTCAGTGCTTCAAGGTGTACACGTTTTTATCTGCTTAACACCAGCTAACTAACCCCTGATGGCGGATAATGGTCTGATTTTCAACAATACCATATTTAAGTTTCAAGCAGTTTGAGAAGGATGTTCAAAGTGTACGCGCGGGTCAGTACTGCCCTCCATCGAATGCCTGTGCCAAACCCAGGAGCCCGACCCGGACCGTCCCTGGCGGAGGTGGGCCCTTCCTCCTGGCTCCACCTTTGTACCTTGTACCAGGGCTCCGTTCATATGCTTATCTGTTTACAGGCCTGTCTTTCCGCTGGATCACCAGGTCGTTGACAGCGGAGACCTTGTTTTATTTAACTGTGTATCCCTGGTGTCTAGCACCGTTTCTGGATCTTAAAGGGAACTCAATGAACATCTTGGACACACTGATTTTAGCAGATGCCCACTTGAGTCTTGGAAGTGATTTGTCTAGCTGCCTCAGACACCCTCAGGTCCTGTCTGCTGAGTCTACTCCCTATCACAAATGTCTTACCTAGTGAAACCCTCCTTTACTCCTCTCATTTACTATTTGAGATTTCTCCAAATAACAACTATAGGATAGCATGCAACCAGCACCTAAAATCCCACTACCAGCGTCCTGGCCCTGTTTCTGTCACCACTCTGACCCTGCAGGTGTGGTAGTGAAGGTGGGGGGCACCCTGGAGAGGGACTGAAGAGAAACAAAACCTTGGTGTCAGGCACCAGGGTGGCCTTGGGCAAATGATGAAAAACATTCAAGGAGAGTCATATCTTACTTTGTACCTCCAAAATTTCTTCTTAATCCCTTGCCTTTTTGATTAATTTGATATGAAAGATGTGGGAAATACTTAGCAAAGCTTATTAACATTTAGTCCTCAATAGAAACAGAATATTATTTTTCTTAGCTAATTCTCTGGCAATTTTTGAGGACAAAAAAATTAAGTACTGAGAAAATGAGTGTCTGAAACCACGTGAAAGATTTTCCCCAACCTTAATTTTACAGAAGTCAAGTTCACATATTTTCATTAGAGACAAATATTTTCACTTTCAAAGAATAGCATTAATAGGGGGTATTCCATGGAGAATTAACAGCATGCAGTGTAGATTGTTAAAGAAAATATACTCTCCAGGTTCTCAACAGTAATGAAAACATTTAATTAACTGCATATAATATATTTGTGAGAAAAAAAGTCATATTCTTACAAATAAAACAGTACTGATCATGAGCAAAGCGGTTTCAGACTGAGTTTCATTGGTATCTTAACATCTCTGAATAATTATGGACTAAATATAACTTATTTTTCTTGTTCCAATACACTTAGGAAAAGAGCTTATTGCTGTTGAGGTGAAAGCAAGGAAAGTGAGAATTTCTGGAGGAGACTAAACTCACCCTGGTTTGGTTCCAACAGGAACGTATTTACATGACTTACATACAGAAGGTGAAACCAGTTAGACCAGATTCAGATCTTTTTTCAAACTAGTTGTGTGACATTGGGCCACTTAACTTCTTTGTGCCTCAGTTTCCTCATCTATAAAATGGATAGTGCTCGCCCCATAGTGTTGTAATGAGTATTAAAAAAGCTAATACAGGCCTTGTTCAGGATAGTGCCTGCACATAAAGAGCCACACCTAAGCGTTAATGATGGTGGAGATGACTTTCATATATTTTCCCACTCTAATAAGATTGGAAAGGGGCCTTTTTATGTTTATAAGGAGGAAATTCCATATATGAGCACCAACTACAAATAAATCACTGTTGTCTTAGACAATGCAGTCATTCATACTAGCCGTATTGGTGAAATAATGAAATGTAAGTGGATAGTAGACAGTTAAATAGTTCCCCCAGCTGGATAACCTGGGGATTGCAGAGCGCTTGACAAGGTAAATTGTGCATGAAAAAGTTTTTATTTTTATAAATTGGCTGGGTGGGGTCATAGCTATAAAAGCCATGAATAATACAAGCAAAAATACATAGTTTAAGAATGTGTCTAATTTAAGAATAAAAATATGTAGTTTTCAACTCCAGAGAAAGTAACAGTAAAGTAGCCGTAACAGCTAACTAACATTTGCTGGGAGCTTACTGTATGCCAGTATTTCACATCCCGATGAGGTCTGTACTATTATTATCTTCATATAAATGAGAAGACAGGGACATGAAGAAGCTAAGCAACTTACTCAAGACCAAACAGTCCCTGAGTGATGAAACACTTCACTCTAGGCTGTTTGATACCAAAAACAGTGCTTATTTACCACAATAACCACTCATAAGCATTTGGAATATATTTCTCCAAAAGTGGCTTTCTTTCTTCCTTCTGTGTGCCTTTGTAAACATCCCAGCTACACCAATTCGCTGCCAAACTGGAATCAAATGATCTGCATGTCTGCTGCCATCTCTCACAAGGAAAGCAAAGCTGTAACAGTACGTGGAGTACCCTATCATAGTAGAACAAACACTGGACAGAAAATCGGGGAATCTGAGTCCTGGTTCTCACTTGCCCCAGGTTCTCTACCACCGGGAACACACCTATTTTATCAAATAAGGTTGGATTTACTAGCATGCTGCAGCAGGGGGCTGCACACCACGAGAATCTGGGGATGTCTCAGTGACAGTGTGAGGAGGGCCTACTAATGAGATTTAGGCTTACGTTAGGTAATTGTGGAGAGGGTTCAAAGATGTAGGTACTTTGTTCTGAGTTCAGTCAGGCGGAGCAGTATCTTATTTTGTAGGTGCATGGTGTTTTTGTTCCTCCTGTACTTGGCTATGATTATGGAGCGCTCTTATTTTTTGTGTCTTGTCCTACCACAATTACAGAATGACCTTGTCTAATGTTAATACTCTGTGAAATTATTATGCTCAGCATTGGATCATCACAGCCTAGCTACTGGCTGCCAGGCCAACTACTAACATCAGAGATTGGCTTTTTTCTTTCTTTCTCGCTGGTTCTCCGTTGACTCTGACCACCCATCCTTTCCTTTACTACTGGTCTTCCTCTGACTCCTGCTTTCACCCAGTGTTGGATTCTCCAGGATCCTTTCCTTGTACTACTTTGTTCTATACATTTTCTTTGTATTAAATCATCCAGTTTCATAATTTCAACCCCTACCTATATATACATGACTTGCAAATACATATCTTTAGCCCATACTTTTCCCCTCTGCTTCAAAATTTTACATCCAGTTCCCAGCAAGTGGCACCACTTGATCTCCCTCAAACAATCTAACCCCAACCAGTCCAGAGTTCAACTGCCCTCTCTTTCCTCAACCATTATCTTTTTTCTGTAGCCTCTGTAGCACCTCCATCATCTTGGCCACCAAAATTAAAACTACAAGATCATCCTTGACTCTTTTCTTTTATATCCAATTTAAATCCGGTAATTTAAAGTGCCATCACCTCCTGTACCTCCCAAGTATTTCTGCAATACAGACTCTGCTCCACACCTACTGCTCCTACCCTGGTTCATTTGCCTTTAGGGCCACAGCTGCCTCCAAACTGTGCCCCATCTCCAGTTCTGAACACTCCCCCCCTCCAGAATCCATCTTTCACAAACATGAATCAGGCTCTGACACTCTACTTGTACCCGATTCCTCATCACATCTACAATCAAGAACGAGATTCCTAAAAGTGACGCACAAATTCCTCCATGGCCTGGCCCCAGCCTCTTCTGTCACCTCTGCTTGCATTCCCATCTTTTTGGTTCCCCTCAACCGATCACAATCTGAGTCTGCTCATGCCACTATAGTGAGAAGCTCTTAATAAGAGTTTCAGTGCCTTCTCAGTTTATAAATCAGATGGATATCTTTAAACCTTATCCAAACACTGTGGTGTTCAACAGTGCTGACGACATCCTCCTGGGAACTCGTACCGCTTCTGCCAGAGCACTCTCACTGGCTTCTTACCCATCTGACTTTCCTTCTCATTTCCTCCTACTGTTCACATTCTCCCTAGATGATTTCAAAAAAAGGAAAATCCAGTCATTTTTTTCCCTCACATCGATGATACTATTTTTTGGCTATATTCCTGATGTTATTATGGAAAAGCTTTCTTCCCAGGTCCCTCTCTATTCACTTAGGTGCTTGCTACTGATCTTTAACGATCTGCTTTAGACCCCTTGTTTCTCAAGAAAACGTCTCTGAATCTTGGCATGTTCAATCTCTTCCCACCTCCAATCTAAAATAGCTATGCACACTTTCCCAAGAACACTTAAAACATTATGTACTAATCACATTTTTATAATAATATTTTTATGTCCCCGTTACACTGTGAGGTCCTTGAAGAGGGTGGTCATGTCTTATTTGTCTCTGTAGCCCTCGCACCTTCTCTAATGCAGGTGTTAAGTAATTGTTTGATGAATATATGAATGAATGAATGAATGAATGGCTTTGTCAAAGCTATAAAACTCGCCCTCTTTGAGCTGCAGCAGGTTCTCATTCATACTTGCTGAGGTGGTTACAAAATGAGTTATATGGAAAAGTGTAGCTCTAAAATGTTATGCAAGTACAGATAAATAAAATTCTAAGAGTCAAAATTGAAAAAATATATATTTGAAACAGTAGATGGCAGTAGAATATTATTTTTAGCATAACATTTGCAAGACTTAAAATTGACCAAATACCCATAGAAAAATGAATTCACATGGTATGATTTTTTTAAATGCTTCTACACTTCAGTTAAGAACAATATGTCCATATTGGTTGATTAATTGTAGCACATGTACTATACTAACGTAAGATATTAATAATAGGGGAAACTGGATTCAGGGGGTTATTGGAACTCTGTACTGTTGAAGATTTCTGTAAATCTGAAACTATTCAAAAACAGTTCATTTCTTTAAATGCCTTATTGCTTGATATATAATTTTCCTCATACAAAATAATAAATGTGAAACACCAGTATCAGTCATTTTCTTCATATAAAATTAAATATGAAAAAAAATACCAATAATTAACTCTTCAAGTTTTAAGATTTTCGGTATCCCGAAATAAAGGTATTTATTTATTTATCCATATGGATAAATACCATTTAAACATTTTATTGTTCTGTTGTAATGATAAATGTATTATTTTAGAAAATCTGAAGACATAAAGTGTAAAAAGAATAAATCACCCATAAATAACTGCCTTTTTTTTTAACCAGAGATAATTACTGCTAATATTTTTACTTTCTTAAGACAATTTTTTCTGTGTGCTCTGATAGTAGAGATTCTCGCTTAGCTTCCAAGAACCCACATTCTTCTGCAGACTTTTTTACAGGCATCCCTAACGTCTGTAATCTAACCAGTGGTGTTCATCAGGGCTTGGTCCTGACCCCAGCTTCTCCCTCTACGTTCTCTCTTTAGATGACCTCAACTATTCCAGTGGCTTATATACTTTAATGGAAACTTCCAAGTTCATTTCTGGTCCAGAATTCTCTTCTACACTTCATCAAGCTGAATGTCGCGCAGACATCTCAAACTCAAAACAGCCCAGACTCAGCTCTTTCATCCCCGAAATATCTTCTTCTAACCCTCTTCCTTGTCTTTTCCATATTAGTGAACGGTGCCAGCATCCACTAGCTTCTTAGAAGACACCCTCGATCCAGTTACCCCACATCCAACCCATCAAAAAAATCTGTAGCTGCCACCTGCAAAAATATACCTCAAATCCACACGGTTTTCCCAAGTCCATATTATCACCCTGTACCAAGCCACCATCCTTTCTCACCTGGACTACTGTATAAGCTTCCAAATAGGTTTTCTAACTTCCATTTTTATCTCCTTCAAACAGCCAGAGAGATATTTAAAGATACAAATCACTTCCTACTTAGGATTTAACAAAGCAAAAATGTCCATGGCCCCTGGATTGCAGCTGACACTGCTCCCTGTGGGCTCCAGCCCCTGGCTGGTCCCTGGTGGAGGAACTGATGTGGCTTTATGTCCTGGTAAAACTCTGACACAATTTCTAATTATTGGAAAGCACAAGAAAAAAAATGTTTGAATCATCATAATCCTATCATTTACCTGGAGATAAGCACAATTAATGTTTTGATATATTTCTTTTTACGTCTTTTTTTTCTGTATGGACATATACACACATACATATATATGCATGTATATGATTTATACATACTGTTGGTTTTACAAAATTAGGATTAAACTCTAGACATAATTTTGCATCCTGCTTTTTTTCATTTATAGGTAAAATATGATTCTTTTGAAGTTCTTTGTTCATATTGCCAAATAATTTTTCCAGTTACACTTACCACCACTAACAGTGTTTAGTACCTGACTCATCCTGCCTTTGCTACCTTTGATTATTGTGTCTGTTTGGATCTTTGTATTTATTAATATATATTGTTTTCCTAGGGAGCGCTTATTGAGGAAATAGTCTAGGAATACAGAGAGGGCAAGGGCTCAAAGCCACTGGCTCAGCGCTCAGGGATGCAGGAAGTTACTGCCACCAAGAGATGCTGGCACCAGTGCAGTGCGCTGTCCTGGGGCTCTGGGAGCAGAAAAGAGGGCCCATCACTCTTGGCTCTGTAGGAATCACCACGATTATTAAGAGTGGGAGACGGGGCTGATTTGGGGCCTATTTGTTCTCTGTGACCTAATTCTAACTGAATTCCAATTCTAAACCCCTTCCTAGGACCAGGGTGGCAACATTCCAAAAGGGATTCATTGACCAAAAGGGACCCAATGACAGCCTTCCAGTAGGTAGGAGCAACTAACATTTGTTAAAAATTGCTATGCTCCAAGGACTCCACTAAGTTGTATTACAAGTAATGTTTAAATTCTCACAAGTATCTGCAAGTTAAATGCTTTAATGCTATTTCACAGATGAAAAAAGCTGAAACTGAGCAATTAAGGAAATCACTCTAGTAAATAAGAAGATTCAAACTCTGATCTTGCCCAATGTCCATGCTATGTCCACTCCAATGTATCGATGTCATGATCTCTGAATGGAGTAAAATGTGGTTTCTTAGGTAAGCACTGCATTTGGAATAAACAAGTAAATAGAGTTATTGAGGTATTACTGTAGGCATATACTATGTGGAAATAGTGGTTAAATCTCAACATCAGTTCCAAACTTTGAAAGTCATTAAGTAGCTACAGAATGAAATACTGAGCTCTGGAACTCAAAAGTTTAATTAGAAATAATAAAAACTAACATTCACTGAGGCTTGCTAGGTTAACACTATTCTTAGCATATGATATGTGTTAATTTCTTTATTCTCAGAACAACCCTATGAGGTAAGTGCAATTATTGTATCTACTTTGCAGATAAGGATACTGAAACATAAATAGTTTAAGTTACTTGTTTAAGACTCAGCAGTTGATGTTAGACCTGGGATGAAAGCCGAGCCAAACTTCTTGGTCTAAGGCTTCAGCACCTACCCACTGTGCATGTAACAATAATAGCAACTAACCTTTAGATGGCACTTAGTATGTGCCAGTCCCTGTTTTAAGCTCACATTAATTGTCCTTATCCTTACAGTATCATTAGCAGTGTACATCTGTTGCTTCTACATTACAGGTAAGAAAACCAAGGCACAGAGAAGCTAAGTGACTTTCCCTAAACAACACAGCTAGGCAGAGGCAGAGCTGGGCCTTAAACCCAGACATTTGGCTGCAGAGTCTGCATGATTAACTCCCAAAATTGAATTTTAGTGTGCATATTTTAAAATTTATTGGCACACATTTGAAATTTATAGAACATAGCCAGTATATGTTTAAGACTGCTTATCTCTCCAAACCAATTCCAACAATTCCAGCGTGTGTGCACATACCCTTTTCTAGCACAAAAACAATAATTGTGTTCCTGGGACAATCACTGAAATGCAGGTTATATAGTCTAGGGTTATTTCAGTCTGGAAAATTTCCAATAAATATTTAGCTAAAACCTCAATGTGTAATATGTGCCCTTAAAAAGTACACTTTCTAAAAATATATTCACAAGATAGGGAAGGGGATGGGAAAGCACAGGACCAGGTTGAGCAGAGCTGTATTAAAAAACTTTTTTAATGAACTGAAGAAACCATCAATGTTTGGGAGAACATCTGTGTTTAAAATTCACACACTTCAGTCTGTTTCTGATATGGACATTCTATTTTATTTGGAGCATTCCGTGAGTCCTTTCCTGTTTACATCAGACCCACATTATGAGATCATGTCAGCTCAGCCCATAATGACATCTTGGAGACCACTTGGTCTCGTGTCCTGTCTGTACACAGGTCTCCATGTTCTCTCCCAAACTACTGACTTTAAAAACTTCCAGAGGAAGGGTTATACTTATCCTTTTAGTGTCCACTCAATATGCCAGGCTCCATATCTCTTGATCTCAGGAAATATTATTGGAAAATAATAAATTTATGTTCCATATGGATAAAGATAAGAAGGAGAAAAATATTCTTAAATACATGAATGTTATGTAATATTAGCATCTCTGTTGAGGCAAACACATTCTTAACCTCAGGGAATTTGCATTTGAATCAGCTGTCACTGCTGTGCAGAGAGAGCCACAGTCCAAAGGTTTATTAATTTATTGTTCAATTACAGAGTATTCAAATAACTGTGTTAGCTCTTAGAATTAGAATATTAATTAGAATACAAGGATATCTTCAAATATTTTTGACAAGTTGTCAGACTCATTTTTTTCTAGAAGAACACAGCAAAATGTGACATTTCTTGTCCCTTATTGTATCATTGTCACTCTTTCCATTCACTGGGCTCAAATGAAGACTTCTCTTATCTAAGTAAAGCAAAATCTCTAGTGATTTTGGTGTCCTAGGACACACGCATATGCACACACACAATATATGAAATAAAAATGCTCTGTTTTAGTAAACCAGTGGTAAATGTCTGGTTTGAGAAATTTAATGTATGAATAAGTCAATTATTAAATTCTTAGAAATGTGTATCTCTTGTGATCTTGACATACAACTAGAGAATACTAGTGGGCTTAGAAAATTTAGAGATCACTGAAATTTCAAATGGTAAAACACAAATGAATTATGAGTTTTCTTTTTTGGTGTTTACAAACCACTGTATGAGTTAAGAGAAAGGGACAGAAGTTATATGATTCCATCTCGAGATTGTTTAAACACTACTAGTACACAACAAACGGTGTGATAAAGCTCTGCTTTCGTGACTATTTTTTTCAATACTTGTAGACATCACTCAACCTCATTCTCTTTTCATTATGCATCAGAATTCCAGATATAAACTAAACACAATTTAGTCAACCATTCTCCTATTGATGGATATATAGGCTGTTTCCAGCTTTTTGCTCTTGTAGACAATGCCACAAAAAACATCCCCTTGTATATTTCTGCAAGTATTCCCTCAGGATAAATCCCTAGCCATGGAAATAATGCATCAAAGATGATAGGTGAACTGATAGATATTAACAAATTGCCCTCCAGAAAGGTGGCCATTTTCATTTTTACTAAAAATATGTGAGAGTTCTAACAAATACATAGAGTTTTATGAATGTTTTCACTTTTGACAGTTTGGTAAGTGAAAAAATATGGTATCTCTTGATTTTCAGCTCATTTCAAGTGAGGTAGAATGTGTGTATTAGGCTTTTGTATTTTTTAATAATTTAAAATTAAGAATGTATTGAACTTAGGTTTGCTGCTACTCAGAACAGAAAATATGGAGAAGAAGTAATCTCTAATTGCTCCAATCTGTATTCAGTACTGAAGGACCCAGTGTTTTTTGCTTGTTACTTCCATTTACATGCCTCGGAAATCTGCCTATGAATGCCTTCATAAAAACGACTTCACATGCCTCAAGCTTATGAATGTAGTTGTGATTCCCTCTCCTCCAACACCAGATGCAATGGTGTATTGTTTCCCTACATGTATATGTATAACAGTAACAATATTATACACAGCAGTAACAGTATTATAACTCCATTTGGGTTCTTGGACCCAACTTCACTGCGTGTAAATATGTGGGAGGGGGTCTTCCCACACATACTTAACACCAAGCAGTTCTCAAATACTAGCAGGGTGTCCGAGAACTCAATTCTGATGCTATCTGCCCAGAGGCAGCACCAGATTCCCCAGGTTAAGGGCTCCATCCTGCAAGACTGCCCTCCACCCCCCTCACTCTCAACTCCAGACACTGGTTGCAAGCCCCAGGCAGTACCTGGGCTTCTGACCTCCCAGCTACAGATTGGACGTTCCCACAACCTCCCCCTTAGGTTTGATTAATTTGCTAGAGTGGCTTACCAAACTCGGGAAACCACTTACATTTATCAGTTTAATAAAGGATACAAGTGAACAGTCAGATGAAGAGAGACACAGGGCAAGGTCCCAAATAAAGAAGCTTCTGGCCTTGTGGAGCTTGGGGCCTGGTTTGGTGGCATCTGGAGGTGTTCTGGGTCCCCAAGCATAGAAGCTCTCCCTGGCTGAGAAGCAGGACCCAACTGAGCAGAGCAGAGCAGAGAGATAAGCTCTTCTGCACAGTTTTTGTGAGGCTTCATTGCACAGTCATGATTGACTAAATTATTGGCCATTGACTGATTCATCCTCCAGCCTCCATTGTTGGGTGGGAATCAAAAGTCTCTCATTAACATGGCAAAATGCCCATTTCACCTTTAAGACTTTGCAGTGTTTTTAGGAACTGGGGATGAAGACCAAATATACCCGGGAAATATGTATTTGGTCATATGACCAAATATGTATTTCTTATGATTCATTATATCACAGTAATAAAAAAATCAACAGAAACAGAACAGGGTATAACCTTATCCAATTAAGACTTATTTGCTTATCATAAAAGCCAAAGTCCTGCAAACCTTTAATTATTAATATTGATAAGTATAACATTTTGTCTATGTATAAATTACAATTTGTTTACTATTATGTTTGTTTACTAAATTGACATATACTTTTGTATTGAATAATTTAGACAATGAAAATAAAAGTAATGTATACACACTAAAAATTTCAGGGAAAAAAAGGGCAAGTATGGTTTTAAAATATCAGTGATATATATTAAAAGATGGAATTTAAAAACTGAAAAAAAAAAAAGTCAGAGTCCTTTCTGAGCCCTAGAAGCCTCTCCCAATGTGGCCCTTGCTATTCTTGCCAGCTCATCTGGTGCCTTCTGGCCTCTCCCTCACCACGCTCCCTCCTGGCCTCCTTCCTGTCCCTCCAACACACCAAGTACTTTACTGTCCCACAGCCTTTACAGTTACTGTTTCCTCGCCTGGAATGCACCTCCCTAAGCTCTTCACACACTCATCCCTCAGGTTTCAACTCATTTCCCATCTTAACTAAGCACCCCTGACTCAGTTACTTTAACACATTAAGTCTGTGTATTAAGGATCCCCAAGACCACACTCAGACTCAGTGATTTGCTAGAAGAAAACACAGGACTCACATAGTTGTTATAGTTACATCTGTGCTTTATGACAGTGAAAGTATGCAAATCAAAATCAGCAAAGGAAAAAGGTGTATGGGCCAAGTCAAGGAGAAAGCAGGTCAGTGCTTCCAGATACCCCTCCCAGTGGAGCCACATGGAGATGCCCTTAATTCTCCCAGCAACAGTGCATGACAACATGTGTGAAGTATTGCAAGCTGCACTGAGCCTGGGTGTCCAAGTTTTACTGTAGATCATTCACATAAGCTTGCAGTGCCCATGGGACTGACCTTAACAATTAAGTTTCCAGCATCCTCACCTATGGGTAAAATTGCAATATTTGC